ATTTTTTTTTATTTTTGGTTTTGCTATAAACTACACTTTTTTTGTGTGTGTGTGTTTTAAGTACACACCTTTTTTTGTATCTTTCACTTTTAATAAAATCTTTGCCTGCATGCACAAAATTGAAGTAGTGGCTCCTAGGTGATTCCCAAGTTCTGGTGAGTTACTTTTAACTTTTTCCTTCAGGGTTCCAAACTGTGGAGGATGGAATGTGACAAAGTTAAATAAATAAATACATAATATATAATAACAATTAAATCATTTAATTATTAAATACATCATTAAATAATTAAATGTACAATTAAATAATTAAATACACCATTAAATAGTTAAATGTACCTTTTAAATTATTTATTTCATGATTTATTTATTTAATTTTGTCACCTACCACCCTCCAGTGATACCATGAATTTATAACTGTCAGCCTCACTCGTCAAACTCAGTGGGCGGGACTAACTCTAACCCTGATGCCTGATTGGCTGTTCCTCACAGCAAGTGAAGACAAATCAACCACAGATAATCGATTGATCCACAGGCCAGAAAATATATTCCAAAACTTTAGGAAGCGGTAATTGTGTTTACGTGTAAACCTTTTTTCACGTGCAAGGTAAAAAAATATTGTATTAACTTGGGTAATGCTCGTGAAACACTTACGGCTTATCTAACAATTTAGGATTTCACATAATCAGCGTTAGCCCCGCCCACTGAGTTTGATGAGTGAGACTAACAGTTAAAATAATTTCATGGTGACACGAGGGTGGAATGTGACAAAATTAAATAATTGAATAAATAACGAAATAAATAATATCATGAAATCAACAATTAAATTGTATATTTAATGATGTATTTAATAATTTCATTGTTTACTTAATTATTTAATGATGTATTTAATAATTAAATGATTCATTTTATCATTGTGTTTTTATTTATTTCATTTTGTCACATTCCATCCTTCATATCACAGAGGTAGAGTACAGACAAAATCCTATGAATCCAGATGGCCTGTGGGGATCTGCAGACTCTGTTTGGACCTTAATCTCCCAGCTGTCTGGATTAATCACAGGAGAAATTACAGGTTGAGTTTTGATCAATAATCGGCATTGGTCCAAGGGGTTTAAATGGTTGTGGATTTCTAACAATTATTATTATCATCATTATTATTATTGTTGTTTTTATTATTAAGGCAATGTTTTAAAAAAAGGTAAATGAGCATTATACTTTGAGCCTCTCCATGCTAATTAAACAGCTGCATAGCACTAATCTCTCTGGAAGTGACTTGGTTCTGTTCAGAACATCACTGTGCCCCCTTCTCTGTCAGAAGACCTCCACAGAGGAACCAGAGATTCAGTTCAAGCTGCAGCATGTGGACAAATAATCCCTTCGGTTCTGATGTTCTTGTGCCAATCACTGTGTGAACTCAGCATTCACATTATTGTTTTACCTGTTTCTTAACTTTGTGCTGTTTTAGCCGCTCTTACATCGGAACGTTCAGCTACTTTTGGAGATGGATGTTGTGATATTTGTTTTGTTTTTTTAAATTAATTTGTATTATTTTAAAATTATTCAACTTTACTTACATTTTTTTCAAAGAAACACAAAACAGTATATAGACACATACCTTCATTTCCTCCAAACATTTTGCTGCTTGACATCTGCTTTAGCTTATTTCTCTTGTTTTGCTGCTTTTAGCTAGCATTTTGTTACATGTAGCTTATGTTTTACTTCTAGCTACTGTTTTTCTAAAATATATTTTTAGCTGGCCTTTGCTATATTAGCTTTAATTATTATTTTTTGTACTACAGAAAGGTTTTAGCTACGTTTTGCTTCTTTTAGCTAGTGCTGTGTTTACAGTATTTGGTCAGTGTTTTGCTACTGTTAATAAGTGCTTCGTGTTCTCATCATTATATGTTCCCATACAATGGCAAAATTAGTTCTCTGCATTTAATCCATGAGATGCACTCAGGTGCGGCGGTGGGCGGCTGTGTGGGCGCCTGGGGAGCAATAGGGGATTGGGTGTCTTGCTCAGAGACACCAAGACAAATGGGAATGGCTGGGGATTGGGCCTGGGCTTTGGGGTCCTGGGTCGGCTGCCCTGCCTCTGCCCCATCTTGGCTCCCAATTAGCTAGCCCAGCTACTTTTAATTTTTAACTAGTGTTTTGCCTTTTTTCTCCTTTAGCTATGGAGGAGGACGACTTGCTGTGGTGACCCATGACAGGAGAAGGGGGTCTCTGCAGACCAAAAGTGGGCGTTTCTGGCGAGTAGGCGTTTATGGGCGGCGAACACTGATTGGCTAACAGTATTTAATAGGCGTTTGTCGGCGGCGAACACTGATTGGCTGTGGGTAACCCTTAAAGTTACGAGGATTATTGATGAGGTAACGTTTCTTTGCGATGTTTGACAAAGAAATATGGTTTATTGTACTTATAAAGTATGTTATGTTTTCACTTATGCATTTTATTGAAGTACGTTTATTGTAGGTCACGATAGTTTCGACCGTTCTCTCGTTGTTGTCGTAACACACTGAGGTAAAGTGAGCCTCCACAGCAGCTCTCACTGTGCACGTTTACAACAACTGGGTGTTGCTTTTCAAAATAAAAGCTGAAAATAAAAGTTCTTAATACTTGAAAAATAAATATTTAAAAGCTGTGTATAACTGAAAAATATGAAAAAATAAAATAAAAGTTGTTATTAGCTGAAAAATAAATAAATAAAAGCTGCTAATTATATCTATGTCTTTCTGCCATGTCAGGGACCACTCTCACTTCAGACTGACTAGAAGACCCCAAGATGTTGCCCAACAATGTTGACCAACATCTGATGTTGACTTTCATTACTCAATAATGAGTAATAACTTATTCAATAAAAAGTCTGTAATTTGTCAGTAATAGTCAATAATTCATTCAAGAATAGATTATGGGTGTTTGGTATGGCTCAGTGGCTAAAATGGGTTGGATGTTAGAGAAATTACTTAATTTTCAATTACCTGAATGTACAAATTCCTTCATTTATAGTTAAACTTTAGGAAATCAACTTTTTTTTTCTTGTGAAAAAAATATCAAAATTAACTTTAAAATCCAATCCAGGATTAAGTAACAACTAGCAACACCCTAACTGTACTATGTTCTGTGTTTCCAACAGATGCTACGATGACTTCTAAAAATGGATGTCCCAATAAACACAATAAAAAAAATTCAATGATGCATCAAATGTTGTCTGAGTATGTTTGAAGGTAATAACAAATGTGAAATCTGGAAAACAAAGAGAATTCCTGAATCTGTCTTGTGTGCTTTGATGTGTACATAAGTTTATTGGAGGTCCTGAAACAACTTTTCTGAGAACACAAAGATTTTTATTTTACCTTTGGCCAAGATGTCCGTTTGAAATCAGGCTGCTTACTGCAAAACCAAGAGGTTTTTTAAGACGGTCTTCATTTGTATTGTTTTGTCGACTATAAGCTAAATGTAATTTCTAAAATATGGATAAATCTGATCTCATCGTGCAGCATAAGCAACTGGGTACAGGTGTGAGGGCCAAAAGTCTGGTTATGTACTGACTCCTAAATGTGCTTGTTTTCTACTGAAACATGGAGTAGGGTTGACCTTTAAAATGTGAGAAAGCTGATGAAATTAACCAGTAAACAGAAATACCTGCTCCAGTTGCAGAAATCTTACAGAAACTGACAAATCACTCATCTGTAGTGACTGCAGGTTGAACAAGACAATGTGAAGTTAAAGGAAACCTCCTTTGTCCCAAGGCCAGTTTAAGTATCATTAATATTTTTCTTTCTTTATGAATCGATTGTAACTTTGTTCACATTTTTCAACAACCAAAATGGAATTTGTTTTTTAATGTTATGGCTAGGTATTAAAAAAAACCCTAACATTTAGCTCTTCCCACTACCCAGTTATGTTGCTCTTATTTTGAAATGTAACCGGAAGTTCTGTGTTAAGAGAGTCGAAAAAAGAAGTTATGGAGACGCCGCGGCAGTATACTGGAGCAATGTCGAACCGAGACGCCGCTAATGTCGAACCGGTTAACACCATAGACATAATATGCCTGTGGTTAACACAATCTGCCAATAACGCCTTGTTTTTAGACATCATGTGTCTGTGGTTACGGCATTTTATCGTTCAGCCTTTTTTTTTCTATCGTTCAGCCTTTTTTTTTCTATCGTCCAATCAGATGTGGCCGTCCAGACACGCCCATTTTTCTATCGTCCAATCAGATGTGGCGTCCAGACACGCCCATTTTTCTATCGTCCAATCAGATCCGGCCGGCCAGAAACGCCCATTTTCCTATCGTCCAATCAGATATGACCGCCCAGATACGCCCACTTTCCTATAGTCCAATCAGATATGAGCGCCCAGATACGCCTTCCGAATTTGCCTGCAGAGACCCCTTCTTGCATGACAGTACTGTTTTGCTAAATGTTAGCTTTTAGCATGTATTTAATTTTTTTGTTTGGGTTTGAGCTAGTGTTTAGCCTTTTCAGACATGATTTCAGCTTCTTTTAGCTAGTCACTTGCTTTAGTTAACTGTTTGAGCTTCTTTAGCAGTTTTTAGCAAAGCCTTTAGTAAAAAAAAAAAAGCAAGTTCTGTATTGCATCTTTCAAATCTTTCTCAATTCTGACTTTGTGTAAAAACGGCAATTTATTGAGACACATCACCTGAATGACAAATAAATTAAAGATTTAAATATATTCCAAGGTGAACGTTTGGATTTTAATTTAATCTAGATCACGATGCCGTTATTAACCAGCAGAGGTCGCTGTCGCCTTATTTTATGTGTTTTACCTGAATACGCATGTTCTGCGCACTGATTTATTTCTTCATGGAAGTTGTTACAAACAGTTGGATGAAACGCAGTAAGCGAATTTTTTAATAAAATATAACTATAATGAGAAAAGAAATGCAATCGTATAAAGATTTTTTAAAAAAAAGTTGCGCTTCTATTCCAGACATTACTACTTCCGGGTTGAACTCTCGCGATACTTCCAGATTTATACGAGTCCCGGAGCTTGATTCTAGAATGGCGGGCTTGCTATGTCGACAAAAGAGATAAATTACAACGAAACAGGTAACATTTCGTGTTGTCTGTTAAGCTGCTAAACATAGTTTTAATGTCGGTGTGGTTTATATCGTGTCACGACGGTTGAAACGCTCAAAAAGTAGCGTGAAACTGCGCGTAGCCGTCGTTTTTAGCAAAACCACCACTTGTTCCGAGCTAATTTTAACTGGTTGCTTCAATGAAAACACCTGAAGCGGCTCAATAAAGTCCCTGAAATCATTCGGACTATTTTCACTTGTGTAAAATAAAGTTTAGGCGTGTTGGGACGGCTGGTACCGTTAAGTTGTTGGTTTGGCTAAGTTTGTTACAGCTGTGAAGGTAATTGTGCAGTTATCTTAACTATTAAATCTGAATATTAACACATAACTTAATAATATAGCTCATTTGAAGGCACAGCATTAAATATATTTGTATGTTTTCCTTTTAACAGTTCTAATTTAGTTGTTTTTCTTCCCTGTACAACTTAAATGAAGGCATGTAAAAGTGCTGATGTGGATCAGCCTGACAAGAGACCCTCCTAGACCTATATCATCTGCTCTTCCATCATCTTGACCAGCTGTCTCCATGACGACCCCTCCCCTGGTACCTTCATTTGGTGGTCAGCCACCGCAGCTTCAGCATCAGCAGCAGGCCCAGGCCGCTCGAGATGTCAACACGTCCTCCTTGTGTCGCATCGGACAGGAGACGGTCCAAGACATCGTCCTCAGGACAATGGAGATCTTCCAGCTCCTCAGGAACATGCAGGTCTGTTCGGCATTATTCTGCCTGTCAAATACACCAACACTGTCCCATTCTGTCAAGCCTTTATTCTCTATAAATATAGCAAAGTCTTAGTAAAGAGAAGTTAGCAAATAGTTAAATCTCAAGGTGATTCGCTCTAACATACTCTCAAAACAAAAGAAAAAGCGACGTTAGGTCTGATGTTAGCCTGAAAGTATTATGTAAATAGCAAACGACTTTTAAGACATCAGTTTTTAAAAAATTGTATCTGTTGGTTGACTTCATAATAGAATGGCTGCAGGAAACCTGACGGGAGGCGGGGTACATTCTGAACAGGTTCACAACACGGACACATGGAGACAAGGCAATCATCCACACATTTACTCACACCTAGGGACAATTTAGAATCACCAGTGAACCTAAAATGCATGTTTTTAGTTTGTGGGAGCCAGAAATCAGAGTAAAAGTGGAATGACAGACTCCTCAAAGCAAAAGTTTTTGGTGTTTTCTACTTGTAAATGCATTTCAGAATAGATAAAGCACATTTCTTCTGGAACTTTAAGCTCCGATGGCTCTAAGAGGATGGATTTTGAGTAAAGCTGTTTCAAACCGCCTGATGTTCACAGCTGGTAAACCCCTGTTAATAAGTTACTCATGTTCAACTTATTTCAGTCACCTTTTCTGCTTTTAGAACATTAAATTTTTCAGGTTTTATTAGAAAAAAGTCAGAACCACTGAACACAGGTGCCTACAGAGGGACGGCTTGGTCCTTAACATGGTTTTTAAAAAGTACAAAGACATGCTTGGCGTCTAATAGGCATATTTCTGCATGTTTGCCACAAAAACAAATCTTTGACACGGTTTTGTAGACTTATTTTGTTTGACAAGATTAAAGTTATACAATTAACTATAATTTTTTTTAAATTGCTTAATTTAAAGCGGTCTTTCCCACATCTTTGTATCAGAAAACTTCTGGTTAATTACAAAATATCTCGGCAGAAAAGATCTGATGATTGTCCAGTTCTAACAGTGGAGCTGTCGCGTTACTAAAGATTTGAGTCTGGGTTGTCCAACCCTGGTTGTTTCGCTGCTCCAACACACCTGATTGAACGGTTGAAAGATCTCTTCGTGTTCTTTAGAAGTCTGTTAATCACACATTGATGCAACCCAGGTGCGTTGGAGCAGAGGGACCTCTAAAACGTGCAGGTGGCCCTCAAGGATGAGGATTGTTGTACAGGTCCCCCTTTGGCGACTTATTATCTGACTATTTCAGTTGAATCTAACATTAGTTATGATGGTGTTAACTGTTAATAATCGCATCTTTCCCTGTAAATCAAACTGTTTTCCTGCTCTGAGTTGATGGACTCCATGTTTAAAATGTGCTGTAGCGTTTTCTGACTGCATTAAATCAGGATCTGCTCGTTAATGCGCTAATTGAAAAAAATGTGACAATAACTGCAGAAAAGAAGAGAACAGAATGGAAATTTATTTTTAATTTATTTTTATTTATACAGGAAATGGTTCATCCAGCTGATTTTCAGGCTGGTGACTCAAACATTTGTCCAGTATGTAAAATGATCAGCTCCGGCGACATACTGAACCCGTCAGAAACTGAGACTAGTCGACTCGTTCTTTATTCTTTGGTTCTGGTCAACGAGGCTCACGCTTTGCTCAGCTTTGTCCGCCTTGAAGACCAGGTCAGCTTGGAGTTTATCGTCCGCCTCTCCCTGCAGCGCGTTCAGATCACAGCCGAACAATCACGGAGCTTCAGCATTTACAAGCAGCGCTGCTGCCTCTTCAGATCAGACCGTCGTACTAATAAACGTTCTTCAGTCTCGGCCTGTTTGACTGTTTTCTCTCTGTCTGCTGTGCGTGCCCCGCAGGCAGGCCTGTTCGTTCTGTGTAGGATGTTTATAATCAGACATGGCCGCCCCCAGACGCCTGTCAGTCCTCTGAATAAAACAAAACACGCCTTGTTACTTTTTAACAGCCATTGTAGTTGGAAGCGAGTCAGAGAAAACTCGGCAGCTGCAGTTTTTATCTGCTCATGCAGCTGACTTTTATTGTTTCGGTCTGAATTATGATTTAATGTTGGAATTTGTTTTAACGGTTCGTTATTATTTGGAGGCAACATTTGTCTTTTAACAACAAGCCAAAGTGGTTGAGCCTGTCAGATCGTTGGAAAGGCGAAGTCGGGCGATGATGCTTTTGTGCGTCTGATTTGAACAAATGAACAATTTTTATGAAACTTTGTGTTGATAATCTTCAGATAAACGTCTACATCTCCTCGGGTGGAGCCAGCCCAAATCAAGACTGGCTGCCACAGACAACTAACTGTAGACGTTGATTTTATAGAGAGGGTCAGTTTAATTCAATCCTTCTCAAATAGGGGGGCCCGAAGCAATGCCGGGGGGGCGCATGTGACCCCGGGGAACATTTTGTGGCAGCGAGTAGTTTTTTTTTTTTTTTTTTTTTGCACCATTTACATTGTGTCAGGGCGTTCGGCAACTGTTGGCTAAAATCCGGCAACTCTCAGGCTCACTAATAATAAAGTTATGAACAAATATGTCTGTCTTGTCGTTTGGGGGGGCCATGCCTGAACCGTGTCGCTGTGACGCCTCAGCTGGTGACGCTCGTCACCCACAGCACGCATGCGACAGAATAAACTCAAAGCCAGAGCGCGTTACCTGCCCCCTCTTTCGCTTTAACAATTTATTTTTTAATTTCTTTAGTTTGTCAAAGCACAATTTATTATTATTTTTTTAAATACAGAAGTAATGTTTAATAAATGTCAGGACTCTATTCTTTATTCTTTGCTAACAAGTCCTCTGCTCTGGACGCATTTCATCCACAGCGCGCAGCAACAAAGAGTATAAAGTCAAACCGAGAGCGACGCCTGCCCCCTCTTTCCTCTTTCGCGTTGACAACAATTTTTAGTTTTATCGATTGTCAAAGCACAAGTTTGATGTTTTTTTTTTTAATTTGTTGTTAAAACAGATGTTTAACAAATGTTAGGACTTTATTCTTTGCCAACAAAATATATTTTACGTCATTAAACAACTTGTCAGGTTCTTCTCTTGTGAGCGCGTTCCCCTGGACTCCCCACCCCCCAACCAGCCCACTTGTGCTCTTTGCGACTTCTCTGCTGTTGCTGCTCTGAAGACCAAGTCCAGGTCCAGGTCTCAGCTAAACATTGAGCAGGAGCTGAGAGTTGCAGGATCATGTTTGAAATTCCACTTCGAAAAGCTGTGCACTGCAAAACGTGCTCATTAGCTGTCAATCCTGACTTCCTCATTTTGATAAAAAAATTTTAAAAAGCAGCACAAATTATTTTATTCATTTTTGAAATGTGAAATGTTTACCTTTTCCTGGAGCGGTCGTAACAGAAAACAATTGAGAAGCACTGGTTTAATTCAAGATGGCTGCCAATATTAGAGCACACTAAAGGCTATAACTTGGTCTACCAGATAGTCAGGTAAAATTAGTTGTGGTAGTAGCTGAGAGTCATACACAACGTGACGTCCTGTCAAGGTTTCATGAAAATGGCTACAACTCAGTCCTTTGCATGATTTTACTCTGCACTTCTTCCCAGTTGCCTAACGGAGTCACGTACCACCCGAACACCCATCAGGACCGGCTGGGAAAACTCCAGGAGCACCTCCGCATGCTCTCCGTGCTCTTCCGCAAGCTGCGCCTCGTCTACGACAAGTGCAACGAGAACTGCGCCGGGCTGGAGCCCATACCTCCAGAGGTGAGACGCCGAGGTCAGCCGCTCGCAACCATTTGGACAGTTTTTTAAAAACAACCGGGATTTTTACGTTAAAAAAATCTTTGAGGAGGAAAAAACTGACGTTCATGAACGTTTTATGTGATCTGAGTTAGTCATGGATTTATTCTAAAAGGTTTCGTTAAAATCCTTCAAATAATTTTTAAATTTGCTCCGAGTGAAACTTTTATATTCGCTAATTTTTCACTGCGCTGGATTCAAATCACTTAACATAAAAAAAATAATAATAATAATTTGCAGCAAAATAGTTAGTAAATGTTTTATAGCACTTTAAATAAACCAATTAAATAAAAGGTTTTTTTTTTTTTAAGTTTACTGTGGTCAAGATTTGAAGGTTTTATAGCTATTTATATTCTACATCTATAAATTAATCTTGTATCTGAAATTTCTATTTCAAAGCTGAAGCTCTTTTATTTTATGTAGAGTTAAATATTTATTAGTTATAACACACCCACACACAGGAAATTATCTTCTTTTATTCCACAAATAACATTTGACAGTGGACGTGTAATGATATTACATTCAGTGATTTTATTTTATAGGGAGCTATTTAAGCTGATTTTACTTTGGCTTTACTTGACATCTATTGTTTATTTTTAGTAAGTTCAGAAAAAATGGCAGTTTTTTTTTTAGATGGTCTTATCTTTTCTGTCCCAAAGATTTAAATTACTATTCATCAATTCACATTTTATTGTCCAGAGATTTTGGACTACAGTTTAAAAAGGATGAAACGTTTGTATCAGGCAAGAGAAAGACGATCAGAAAAATCCTAATTTTTGTTCAATAATCAGGCGTTTTGTGTTGATTATGGTTTCAACTGAAGCAAATGTTTGATTCGTGTGTTGACACAAGTGTTTAGTCACACATCAACACATCAGTCAAGTCGAACTTTATTTGTGTCGCTCATTTTCATGCATACAACACGAAACAAACTGAAACTCTTTCAAAGTACACGTGCACAATAACACAAACATCAAACATTTCAAGTCCCTCGTTTATCACAGGTGTTAGGTTCCCCATCTCCCCCCCCCCTGCATGATAAGTGTAAAACCGTGAAGTAGGGATGCTATATTTATTTTAGTATATATATAGAAACCGTTCCCACACTCTTGCAATGTTCTAAACTTTTAAACCCACATCATTTTAACAACATAAGTACAGTACTGTATATGTAGCTACTAAATTTTACTTACCAGGCTCTGCAGAATGGGAGCAGCTCTCAATGTCTTGCCCAGGGGCACTTCGACATATGACCGGTGGAATCAAACCTCCTGTCTTCTCACTTCACTGGCTCTGTATGTGTCACAGAATAGATTTAAAAATTCCTGTTGACCTTTAAATGCCTAAATGCCCTTGCACCCTCATATCTCTCCGATTCACTCCAACCTCAGAGGAGATTGGGTTTTTTTCTGTCATGGCTCCTAAACATCAGAACAATCTTCACTTCCTGTTTTTAAATCTCTTTTAAACACATTTTTTTTCCCATTTAACATTTATTCCAGTGAGAGTTGTTCAGTATTTTATTGCTTCATATTGTTCTGGTGTTTTTTTTTAACCCACGCCTTTGTCCAGTTTCTAGTTGTTGTTCAGCACTTTGTTGCAACTTGTTTTTAAATGTGCTTTATAAATAAAGTTGACTCCGAGTCTCGTGGGACGACTGCTCAAACCACTGAGCCACTGTCGTCCCATACTTACAGCTTCGTGAGCTGTGCACTCAGAAGTAGGAGTGCAAATCTCTCTGCGTCTGGCGATTCGATTCAAAATCGATTTTTCGATTCAGAAACTATTTTTCTATTGACACGGTCCTAAATTTTGTTTCAACTGTTTAACTGACGAGCTGAAAATATGAAACAACAATGTAAACAAATAGAAGATTTATTTAAAACAATAATTTTAGGTTCTTTACTGTATCAAATCTTTTTGCATCTGTATTATGAAATTCTTTATCAAAAGGGCTCGTGAACGGTCGGCACAGATATTCAGACCAGAGGGAAAAAATAAAACACAGAGGCT